ACAGAGGGAGCGGGGAAGGGAAGCGTTGGTGCCCTGGGGGCGGACAGAGGTGCTGCTGCTCCAGCGCGGGGGATGTGCGGGGGATCGGGGACTGAGTGCCGGGCACAGACCCCGAACCGGGGCTGCGAGCGGGAGCTGCTCTGCCCAGAGCTGCTCTGCCGGGAGCCGCTTCGCCTTCCCTGCATTGCCCTCTGCTGCAGGCGCGGGGCATGGCCGCGGACACTGCCGGCACTGCCACCAGAGCCACTGCCACCGCTGCCACCGCTGGCACTGCCACCAGAGCCTCTGTCACCACTGCCAGCACAACCACTGCTGCCACTGCCACTGCTGCCACCGCCAGCACAGCCACTGCCACCGCTGCCACTGCCAGAATCATTGCCACCACTGTCACTGCCAGCACAGCCACTGTCACTGCTGTCACCACGGCCACAGTCACTGCCACAGCTGGCACTGTCACTGCCGTCACCACTGTCACCATTGTCACTGCCACAGTCACTGCCACCACTGTCACCACTGTCACTGTCACCATTGTCACCACTGGCACCATTGTCATCATTGTCACTGCCATCGCTGTCACCATTGACTGCTGTCACTACCACCACTGCCACTGTCACCACTGTCACCAGCAGCACTGCTACTGTCACCACTGCCAGTATCATTGTCACCACTGTCACCACTGTCACCATTGTCACTGCCACCACTGCCACTGTCACCACTGCCACCAACAGCACTGCCACTATCATTGTCACCTCTGCCACTGCCACCACCACTGCCACCACCACTGCCACCACAACTCCTGCACTGCCACCAGCACCACCACTGCCACCAGTGCCAGTGCGGCCACTGCCACCATCCCCCCAGTGCCACCATCCCCCCAGTGCCACCATCCCCCCAGTGCCACCTCTCCCCCCTCTGCGGTCCCTGCAGCAGCTCCTTGGGGTGGCAGCAGGAGCCCCGGGCTGCAGGGGAACACTTTTCTTTTGAAATGGAGAAATAATTGGGATATTTATAAAAGACAGTCAATTAAAGTCCACGTTGTCCTTAAAATCCAGGGCAGTGTCACTGTAAGCCAGGGCTGAACAGTCGCAAGGAGAGAAAAAGAACCCTTTAAAATGAAAAACAAAACCAGGCATAAATATTCCAAGGAGATTTTTACAGACAGACAGACCCTCGGGGGGGAGGGAAATGTGTTGTTCTCCCCTCTTTGTTTTCCCGTGGATTGTATCCTGTGCCTTTGATCAGCACCATTCCCAGCTCCAGAGCCTGGCTGTGCTGCTGGTCACTGGGGCAGTGCAGCCCAGGGATTCAGGACAGCAAATCCTGGCAGAGCTGCCCAGCACTGACTGTGATCAGAGCAGACACGGGAATGTGGAGCAGAGATGAAAAGTAACTGCTGCTCCCTGTAATTCGACGGGAAGGACTTTTTCAAGTATTACCATGTTTTGCTCAGATTAACTTATCTCTGCTTTCCCACAGACGCCCAGGAGCTGGAGGGGAGCGAGGAGGGAAGGGAGCAAATAAATAAGCGAGTAAACAAATAAATAAACCCGGGATGATGAAGGTTTTGCATTCAGATTTCACCACGAGCAAAAACAAAAGGGTATTTGAAACGCTGTTATGCACAAACAATTCTGTTAAAATAGAGAATGCTTTTTTAAATCCATATTTACTGAAGGAGGGGGCTGAGGGCTGAGGCTCCAGCACTGCCCCAGCTCTTTGGGGAGGGGGTTGGCAGCATTCCCATGGTTGACACTGCTCTGGGGGGATCCCATGGAACCACAGGCTGGTTTGGGTGGGAAGGAACCTTAAAGCTTATCTTGTTCCACCCCCTGCCATGGGGGAACATGGGTTAGTGGTGGCCCTGGCAGTGCTGGGGAACAGTTGGACTCGATGATCTTGGAGGGTTTTTCCAACCTAAACAATTCTGCGATTCCAAGATGCAGAAATTACAGCAGTAAGTGTCTTCCTTGAGAGGCTCAAAGCCCTGAAGATCACAAAACCCCCCTCATGGTCTAACTAACGTTACATAACCAGGATTTTTTTTTTCCCTCTACATCTGTTTAGAAAAACTTTGAAGTGCCTGTGAGAGGCAGCTCGCAGCCCGGGCAGAGGGATGATGCAGGGCTGGCAGAGCGATATTGCAGCAGCTGGGAGCAAAGTCAGACCCAGCTTTGAAAACCTCTCAGTGCGGGAGCGGCCCCGGGGCACGGCGGCAGCGGGATCGGGACAGGATGGGCCGGGGAAAGGGGAAACGGGAAAGGGGAAACGGGAAAGGGGAAAGAGGAAAGGGAAAACGGGAAAGGGGAAAGGGCTCTCGGCAGCCGCGGGGCGGGCGCTGGGCTCGGTTCTGCCCCGCCTGCAGACCTACGGACTAGGAACACATCCCGAGATCACATCCTGAGAACACATCCCGAGATCACATCCCAGGAACACATCCCGAGAACATATCCCAAGAATAAATCCTGAGAACACGTCCCGAGATCACATACCAGGAATACATCCCAAGAACAAATCCCGAGAACACATCCCCAGAACACATCCCAGGAACACATCCCAAGATCACATCCCGAGATCACATCCCTAGAACACATCCCTAGATCACATCCCCAACATTCAGCTTGTGCTCCCCACGGTGAGCACCAGCCCCCCTCAGGGGTGGCCCAGCACACCCATCCTCCCCAGCACACCCATCCCCAGCACACCCATCCCAGTACACCCATCCCCAGCACACCCATCCTCCCCACAGAGGGGCCTCCCACCCCCTTGGGGCAGCAAACCTCGGGGGCTCTGCCCCGTCAGTGCAGCCCAATTTTTTGGGAAGGTTAACCTGCGTGGTTCACTTTCCCACCCAAACATCCAGGACATTCTTACTCATCTTCCCAGACTCCCACTGCCCCTTTTCCAGGGAACCAGCTGGATGCCCCTCTCCACCCCTGTACAAACACAACCCAAAAGTGATGACCAAGGCCAGGTTGGAGCAACCTGGGCCGGTGGAAGGTGTCCCTGCCCATGGCAGGGGGTGGCACTGGGTGGGCTTTAAGGTCCCTTCCAACCCACACCAGTCTGGGATTCCATGACCACACCAACAGCTTTGGCCTGGGCTCCAGCTCTTTCCCCCTGAGCTCTGTGTGTGAAGCAGTGGTAGGACAGGACATGTATCACTGTGGCCTAGCACACAATAAATAAAGAAATCAGTGGTTTCTTCCTGCTGCCTGGATTAAGTGGATCCATGCAGATATCAGCACATCTGCTCATCAAGTGTCAGCACAGGAACAGATCCACAACCCCAAACTCACCAGAAATCAAATGAAAGGAAATGTGAAGGATTTGTAAAGCCCAGTAACAGAGAACTGGACACTGGCAGAGAAGTACTGATGAAGATACCAGGGTTTTATAATGGGATTATATTTTCCTCTATCCAGAAACATCCAGAACCTAATGCATCTTTGGGCTGGCTCACCATGGGAATCCTGAGGCTGATGGGGAGCAGAGCCAGCCTGCTCTCACAGCACAGGGCTCTTTGCTCAGATACCCCCAGGACCATCCAGTCCAACCCCTGGCCCTGCCCAGGACACCCCAACAA